ATGGTGCTTTCCTCCCACCCACCGCTTCCTCCTTCCCTGCTTCATCGGGAGGAAAAAAACCAGGCACGAAAGCAGCAAGGTGGAGGGGCTGGGCTGGGGGAAGCGGCGCATTTGGAAGTTGGGTGTGCAGGAGGGTTGCGGGCGGGGGGGGGGCTTCAGCTTTCAGTGTGTATTGTGCTTGTACGTTGCGTTTATTTCTCAGGTGGAGTTAGGAAGGAGCGTGCGGAGGTGCCGCTGGGCACGGCGAGGTGCTGGGGGTGCCAGTGTCCAGAGCGTGGCTGCACCCTTCCGTAGGGAGCAGCTTCTGAGCGCCTGCAAATGAGACTAAAATTGGGCACAGGATGTAATTAATACAGGTCTTGCAGTGTTTTCTGTCTCATTCCTTCCTGTGCCTGCTCCCCATTTTGCATCCTGGAGTGCTCTTGCTAGGCTGGAAGTGTGTCTGCATAAGGCATCTCTTCCTTCTTACTTCTCCTTGCCATTTCTTCATTTGGAAATGTATTCATCCCCCTCCTCTGCAAATGAATTGTCTTTTCAGCGCTTTGCGCTTGGAGGAGCGAGCAGGGGAGGCTTGGGTAGGTTTGTGCTTTGCCTTTTCCCCCTACACCATATGCCCATGCTCCACCCTCCTCCTCTTTTTGTTTCAGGAGGGGGGAAGTGCCAACTTGGTTGAAGTAAATTGTATGAAAAATAGGATTTTGGCCTTACGTAGAAAGAGCAGTGATTTTCCTTACAAGCTGCCCCCTTTAAACGCTTCCAGGGTGCCAGCTGCTGCATGACAAATGGAGAGCTTGGAGAGAGGCAGGAAAATAGGTTGTATGGGATTTGGGGGAGAGGTGTGCGTGGTAAACCTTCCACTGCAGCTGCAAAAGGCATTTTGACATCTCTCACACAGACAGATACTTGCACTCGCCTTCACCTTCTCAGGTGGTGCAGCTCGAATGGCTTTAATCCTTCGGAGAAGAAACTAGGGAAGTAAAAAATGCAAACGGGGCTCTGGTTCTATCCCAGCACTTCTCCTGAGCCCCTGAGGCACTTGGTCCGTGCTGGAAAGATTATTTGGGGGCTTCTGATTTCCTTGCCTTTGACTTCTTTTCCCCCTTAACTGAGTATAAAAGAGGGAAGAAGTCCCTTCTGTGTTCTTCGTGATCCCAAAAGCCATAGAGAGCTCTGGGTTCATGTGTAGGTGCCATCTGTTGCTCAGCCTGTTTGAATCGTGTGGAGGAAAAGTTCCATTTTGACAGTGGCTTTAAAAAAAAAAAAAGCAAAGAAGCAGAGAGAGGCAAAGCCCATTTCAGGCCCTTCCTGTACGGCCTCAGCCCGGCAGTGATTTGCTCAGAATGAAATGCAAAAGAACTGGGTGGTGATTTTGGTGTGTGTTTTGGTGGCAGGGTTCAAATGAATCACTGCCTTCCGCCCAGGCAGTAATGTTCCTCAAGTTTTCTCTCCGCTCCGTGTTCTATGGTAGTAGAACTTGTTCACATCCGACTGCTTGTTTGCTTTGCTGCTCGGATTTGCTGCTTTTTGTTTGCAGGCTGGTAGTTGCTTTCGTTCCTTCTGCGAAGACACTCTCAAACCGTGCTAAAATCTTTCTTCTTTAGCCTTTAGCATGGAGGCAGAGTTCGGTGCTTTGGAGAAGAAGGAATCGAATGGATGCTTGGGTTATAGCGAAGGGAAGGTTGGAATTTGCCAAAACGTGCGGCTTTTTGGTAGAGTTCTGACTTCTGAAGTAGGAAGAAGCTGGTGTGAAGCAGGATTTTCCTGCACTCATTTTAAATGCGCAGTTAAAGTTGGCACTGGCAACGCTACCGAGTCCAGCGAGCTTTTGGCGACGGAGGCTCTTCTCGCTGCTGCTGCTGCTGCTTTCAGGGGCTTTGCTAAAGCCGTGCTGGGCGCTGGCAAACGGCTCCTGACAAAAACAATATCTGTAAAGGAAAAAGGTGGGGAGGGGCAGCTGGGGATTGTGCTGCTGCGGAAGTAGGCGGCGTGCACAGCGCTGCCTCAAACTGTCAGCCTGGAGCTGCTGAGAGCTCTTTGTGCTGCTGTGGGGTCTCATGTCTGTCATTGTGTTTTTTAGGAGCTGGAGGAGGCAATGACATTCAGTGGTGTTTTTCTCAGGTGAAAGGCGCTGTAGATGATGATGTAGCAGAAGGTAAGAGCAATATTTCTTTTACTGATTATTCTTGACTTTTTAGCTACCCCTCGGGAAGGGAGATGCGAATGCGGCCTTCCTAAAATACCTTAGTGTTCCTGCATGCAATCGAGCAAAGCCAAGAGACATTTAATGTGCATTGAGATACCTGGATTCAGGATCAAACTGTGGACTGAGAGGACTCTTCAGCGCACTTCTCACGAGGGCTGAATTCAGGCTCCTGAAATGTTTTGCTGGAGCTGGTTTCCAAGATTAAGATTTTCCTGTCACTCAGCTTTTGAGCTGTGTTTTTTCCTAATCTGCAGAATGGGGAATGTGGTACTTGCATTCCACAGGGAGGTGTTGGGAGAATTAATTAATGTTTGTGCTCTTTGAAGATCTAAGTACTAGATAAAGATCAAGTCATTTTCCCAATCTTCCCAGCTTCTGTTAACCAGGAGAAGAAGAAACCCGAATATTTGTGTGTGCTTATTAAAGAGGGGTCTGTGTTTGAAATAATACTGGGAATTGCCTAAAACTTTTTGAAGCTGACAGTGACAAATGCCACCTTGCACTAAGATGGCTGCCTCTGACTGTGACAGCAATAACTGTACTTGTTTTCTTTTGCTTGGATTGGGGATCATGAGGAGAGTTGCACCATCTCTGTGCTGCTCAGGCACTGTGACAGAGAACAACATTTCCTCTGCGATCCTTTTTGAGGGAAGTCCCACTGATATTTCCTTGCCATAAAGTCCTGTTGGCACCACGCAGCCTGTGGATCAGGAGTTAGATTTGTTCTTGTGCAAGCAGTTGGCCTTGGCACTTACAGAATTCCTATAAAGAAGTGGTTTTTACGTATCTCGGATGCTCTGACGTACAAGTAAGATTAATGTTGTATTTAGAACAGCAGGAACTCCAGTTTCCATTATTTCCCCATTTGACACGTGCTCAAATTAAACTTCCAAAGGCCAAAAAATCAGTATAAACAGAAGTGACTTGGTTTTATTTATTAGCTGCAGCCTGTGGCAAACGATGCACTTTGAGAGACTCCTGTCATTTACAAGCTGCCTTTTGGAAACTAGAAAGCTGTAACAATTCTTTAAGTTGAATTTTCCATTCTTCAGGAAGTCTATTTTAAAGCTTGAACTCAAAACTACCATTAACTGCAGGATAATTTTTTTTTCCATGGCAGACTTTAAATTCTGTGACCTTTCATTACGTATCAGACTAAATCCCTACTTAGAACAAATACTGAAGAAGTCGTGGCCGTCTGGCTGGTGCATGCAAATAATTCTTCATTAAAACAGACACTTTGACAAGCAAGTAATAGTTATGAATTTTTCTATGTAGAGTAAAAGTGGCTTTTACAGCGATCTGGCAATGCAGGGGTCAGGAAATACCCAGTCCTTAACTTCCTTACTATTGTACTTGGTGCTGCAAGAGATGACTTGCCAGCCTTGTGCTTCCTGACAGGTTAGCACTGTACTGTGCAGTGCTGGAGCTCAGGGGAGCTTTCCCTGCCAGTGAAGTGACCAGCCAGTCAGGATGCTTCCAAAACTCATAAGAATGTCCAGTTTTGGTTTTATGGAGGAGGCACCTTCTGATTTTGTGGTCCAGCGAGCAAAGAGGAGCTTAATTCCATTTTCAGCTATAGCTGACTTGGGATGAGTCTTAACATGCAAACCCTTTGATGTAATGCAACACGTGGTGAAATTTCAGTGCCTGGATCCTGGAGAGAGGTCCCGAGGTTGGTGTTACACTTGGTTGTAATGAATTTGTTGAGCTGCAATTCTCTTCCTGTGTATTCAGCTCCAACAATTCATGCTGGAAATGGTTGAAAGCCAACTGTCTAATCAGAGTGCAGGTGCAGCTTCCATGCAATCCTTTGAGTTCTTGTTATGCTTTGTAATGCCTCCCTGTGATGCTCTTGGACAGGTTAATAGTGTATCAAGCTGGCTGCATTTTTCCTTTTATTAGCTGTATTTCTAGCTTTAAGCTTTGCTTGAATGAAACAGCCTTGTGTGATTCCTGCAAAAATTGGAGCAGCAGCTCTGCATGCTTCTGATCCTCCTTCAGAACACCCGAGGACGAGCTGAGGTGGCTCTCAGTGTAGTCTGAGGACCTTCTTGCCACCCTGCCCTTGTGTCTGCTTTCTTGTGGCAGGCACCATGGTGAGAGCTAAAGAAAATCTGGCTGTCTGAAACTTAATTAACCACTGTGGTCTGCAGCTAATGAGCATGGACTCGCATCGCGTCTGGGACTGAGAACAGTACCACTGTACTGTACTGTAGCACCCAGGCTGTGGATTATTGGGGTTTTTAATGGCATTATTGCTCAAACTTAAAGTAACTTTTGTTGTGGAATGCTGAAACTTCACTAATAACAAAGGGAACAAAACAAACCTGAAAGAAATGGGAGGTTTTGCTTTCTCTTTTCTTCCTGCTCCTAATGCAGTGTTGATGCTGGAAAGCTGGACTGCCCTAATAAAGTGTTAACCAAGAAAACTACATCCATTTCATTGCATTACTCAGTAGAATGCAAACCCAGTGGCCTCTCCAGTTACCCATAAACCAGGCCAATGGAGGGTAATGTTTTTAATACTGTGATAGTGGCAGCAACACTGAGAAGCTTGCTACAAACACCACTGTGCAGCTCCCAGTGCACCTGAGGTCAGACCTGATGGTGGAACCTGCACATGATAGGTGTAACCTGTAATTCTTTAGATACTTAGGCTGGAATGACTGTCTGTTGCAAAGTCAATACTTGGTGGCTTTGATGGCTGAAACATGAACTCTGATACATAGAGTTTTTAATTTTCTGGCTTTCTGAGTACTCTCTAATGGATGGGACACTTTCTGTTAGAGCTGCTGAGGGTGGAAGCGAAAGAAGGGGGAAAGCTGTAACTAAAGCTTGAGGAAAGATGGTAGCAGAGGGTTTGTATCGGGGTCCTGCTTGTGTGGTTCTGCTGTGGCAAAGCTGCTCTAACTTGAGGAGTATGGATGTGTGAGGGGCAGAGAACTAGCCTCTCCTCTCCTGGTATGCATGGAATTTATCCTTGGTTGTAAGCTCTGGCCTGGCCCTATTGGATCACAGTTAAGTATGGAAATGTGGTTATAAATTGAAATGTGAGGGTCAGCTTGATGGCCAAAGTTTGCCTTTTTGTGATTTAATAGCCTAATGCATAAGGGAAATGGTATTTTCCTCTCTTAATTTTATATTTGTCTTGCTGGAGCCTAATCCTACAGCATAATCTGTGTTCAACTTGTCCTGTGCACTCTGGAGCCAGGACATCAGATGAGACAGGACTTCTCCAGTGGAGAACACAGAGTCACTTCTTGATAAATACAATAATCAGTTTGTCAAAAGCATCTGGAATGTAGGGTTTATTTTTTGTTCTGTGCCATGACTGCTTTGGTGCAAGTAAGATTGAACTGGCTGGAAACACTTGAGAGCAAACATTGCCATGTATTCTTAGTGGAAGCTTCCTTTATGGGAATGACCATGGAAAAGGATCAGAAACATTTTCTGCAGCAGTTTTGTTGGTTTGGGACTTGTTTTTACTCTTCTGCTCTTGTGTTCTCTAAGATGTGGCATAACGGTAGCTCCAGTTGGAAACAGCTAAGACTTGGGAGTTTAAACTGTCTCTGAAAGCTGGACGCTTGCTTAACGGTATGAGGTCGTACTTCAGAACAAATAGTCAAATTTGTTTAATTACTTGGCAGAAGGAACAGAATCAAGCTTCTCTATCTAAATGTTCTTTCCAGTATAATCCAAAGATATGTGAAAGTCCAGTAGCCTGAGTCTGAGGATGGGTGCCAGGAACTTAAGTCCTAAGCTTTAACCCTGAGTTTGACAAGTTGTTTAACTATTTCATGCCCAAATAGTCTCTGAATTAATAATCTGTGAGTTGTTTCACACTCAGAACATGGCTGTAGCCTGGTTCAGTTTGTGTGGATGATGAAGAGATGAAGTCTCTTGTTCTTTTCCTAGCCTCCTCTTGTGTGTGTGCTCAGAGATATAAACAAGACTTGTCCCTCGTTCAGGAATGCTTTCTCTGTTTGATTCTGGGTATGTTATATCTTTTGAGTGTAGTTTTGTGTTTATTTTTGGCAGACTTCAAAACTGCAGAGCAGCTATGGGAACTGTTGTTGCTTCAGTAATGGGAGTTTGTCTTCAGTGCACAAAAATAGTTATCTCGGAGTAAGAAAAACTGAAGCCAGGAATGGGGACTGCTGTAAAAAGCAGTTTACCGCGATCTGGAGATCACCATCTCTTGCCTTACCAGAAAGCTTTCTCTTTGTCAAGTAACATGTATCTGTAGTAGTGGATTAGAGCTGCTGAATCTCCTTCAGAAGGTTGGTTAGCTCTGTCCTACCAGTCTGTTGTTCCTAGGGGCAAACCTGGTGCTGTGGTGGGCTTACCAACAAGTGACGAGTAGGGGCCTGTGCCTTGCAGATGGAGGGATGTTGCTGGCATCAGTTGGGAAGAAGGGCTTCTACCAAGCTGTGTTTGTGGGCAGGAGTCACAGAAGAGAAATGGTGGTGGTATAGAAGTCACTGATGGGTGGTTTTTTAATGGGAATTGATGGAGTAGGCGGGGAGGAAAAATTAACAGAGAAAAGTAGCAAAGGTGTGAGAGGTTGCAGTAATAATGCTGAAGAAAGACTGAGGTATAGTTGTGGGAGGGAGCTTAATTTGGATTTTGGAGGGCTGTGGTTATGTTCTCATAAGGTAACATCAGTTAGAAGGAGCAAAGACTAGTAATGGGTTTGCTTATAAGGAGTAGTTTGAGATATGCTATAGGTAAGTAAAAAGCTAGAAGGTTATAGTCCTATTCTGTATTCCCTAAGTCTGCTTCTGTATTTCAGCTCTTCTGTCTTCAGCTGTTTGTAGAATGACTGGCTGTATGGAGAGAGAGAAATAGGCTGCTGTGTTGTAGGAACTGCTGCTCTGGATTGACTGAAGCGTTCAGCTAAAGTGCAAAGTCCCCCACAACAAAGAGCGTTTAGCAAACAGCTAAAT